TATCAAGTATCATCACTAATGTAATCAAAACTGAATATCTCTTTGTGAAAATATACCTCCACTCTGATCCATGTAACGTTGTTGGCTCTACTTTTAGGTACTTGAATATCTCTTTGGGAGCGAAAAGCAAGTAGAACGCTATAATAAAATATAAACGACTGTTTAGAACAATCTCACATAGAAACATAAACATAAACACAAATCCAGATATCGATCGATAGTGGTAACAACGCACCCCCCTCTAAAACGACATCGACCGATACTTTCAAAAATCCATCTGGGAGCGGTCTATGGTGAAGCATTTCTCCCAAATTATTATATACTTTTCCATTGCCAACCATCTGATAAGTCGGTGCCGATAAATAGAGTTGACACCGGGAAATGCCCTATAATTTAATAAATATGGTTATATAATTAATAAACATGATTATATAATTAATAAACATGGTTTTATAATTTATAAAGATGATATATAATTACCTCGAGAATATTTTGTCCAAAGTTACCATTGATATTACCTTTGTCACTAGTATCTTTAAAGCTTGTAGCTTGATCGATTTCCTTTTCCTTTCTCAGCTCATATACTTCTTGTTGTAACTTTTCAAACTTCTCCTTAAGTTCTTTATTGCTCGCAGCTTTTGTCTTTAATTTTTTTTCCAATGATGTTGGAGTGATCCCAAATCCCTTACCCCTCACCCGACCAGAATACTCACGAATATCTAATGCTCGTGAGAGTATTCTCCTGCAATCATTATCTTCATCTGGAGGTATAGACTGGGAAAGACTCTCCTGAAATTCATATAAATATTGTAATTAAAGAATGATATGTTAATAAAAGAATGATGTAATTAAATAAATAAAAGTATGATGTAATTAAATAAATAATATTATACTTACACATCTCTCAAAAAGCCAACTGAAGGTTTCTTGCTTCTTCTCCAAAATCAGGATAATCATTATTAATTTTTGACCTCTGTGGTGAATCTGCCGGATATCGACACTTTCCATCAATAATTCTTTCATCTGCATGCCAAGTAAGGTGTCTTGCATCGGTTTCACTATGAAACATTCGCCTAAATCTCAGAATTATAGGAAAATACCATAAGACTTTTACTGGAGACAATTTTTTCTTATATCGAGACAAACCGCATTTAAGGCACTCATTTAACGATGGATATTCGTTTCAAAACAAAACGCAATCGTTTGGACAAGCATGTATCTTATCATAGCTCATGCCAATAAAGCACAACATTTTTTTGGCCTCATAGGTTCGATTAGGAAGAACATTATCCTCCGGAAGCATATCTCTCATAAGGGCTAATAACTCTGAAACTTTTATCTGACCATCCATTGCCTGCCTTTAAGTTTTACAACTTTAATACCGCATACAGTCTTGTGAATTTAGTGCACCCTTTATACAACGGTTTCTCTGCATTGCTTACCAATCTCTCAAACATTTTGGGACAATCCTGAAGATCTTTTTCAAGTACATCTGCAATCTCTTCAACTCGATCAAAATCGTATGTATCTGTGTCCTTGTCGTCTGAAGCATAGGCCGTACTACTTTTCTCCCCCGGTTCAACGTTGTCATTACTTTTTTCACCGTGAAATATCCAACACGTATAACTTCTATCAATTCCATGCATTAGTAAATGTGATTTCAATCCATCTGTGTTAACCTGACCCACATAACAACAACCCAAGCAAGGACACTTCATTCGACTGGGGTCTTTGGCGTGTTCAACAACAAACTTAACGAATTCTAATACCCCATTCTCGTACTCTTGTGACAATTGATCGACAAACATCCATTTTTATCCATTTTTTTCTACTTATTCAAGTAAACAAAAACACTATAAATGGATTATTCTCTTTTTGTTTGAATTAAACTAATTATTTCTAGAAATTTATTTCTAGAGTTAATAACATGGACTACAAATAAATATATCTATATAAAAATAATTGTGTTTTTTAATTGATCGATATAGATAGAATTTGAACTTGACTTACCAAAGAAAGAAAAGGGGCTATTGGTGTCGACGGTGGATGATGCGGCTTTGATGTTCTTCGAATCGGTGATGGTCTTCGACTAACTACACCAATACAAATGGATCATCAAAAACAAGTTTTATATATATATATATATATATATATATATATATATATATATATATATATATATATATATATATATATATATATATATATATATATATATATATATAGGTTCAAAATACTAGTAACAAAATACTAGTTCATGGAAAATATAAACATGATAAACAATTCAGAAACCAATTAAAATAACAAAAAACCCATCATATATATCATCTTTTTAATTCCAAAACATAGAACCAAAAGAAAATGCAATAATGCTAAATGCTAAAAGTGTTGCTTTTATATATCAAGCCCTACCAAGAACCCGAAAATTAAAATGCATACATATAACCCAGTTTAGACATCAATAGGAGGATAATGTCTTAGATGTTAGCATAGTACATTATAAAGGAGGATAACTCAGTTTGGATATCAATGGAGATAAAGACATTTTCAATAAAGAATATACCTTAAGAGTCGGCCGGTGTGGGTGGAGGAAAACCGAGCGAGGCGGTGGAGGACGGAGGGGGGCTGGTACGACGGCGGAGGATTTGCGACGGAGGAGGAAATGGGTCACGCTTACTGTTGAAGGAGGGAAAGGGTTTCGCTTCTGTATTCGTGAATCTGTGAATACACAGATTCTATTTTTTTTAATTTTCACTTATAAAGGTTTGGACAGCGCTTTCTAAAAGCGCTGGCTAATATGGACCTATAGCAGCGCTTTTGAAAAGCGCTGGCTAATAGTGTCCTTTAGCAGCGCTTTTCTAATATATTTTTTTAATTTTTATGACTTTAGACAGCGCTTTCTTAAAGCGCTGTCTAAAGTGGACCTTTACCAGCGCTTATGATAAAGCGCTTTCTAAAGCAATCCTTTAGCAACGCTTTTTAAAAGCGTTGTCTAAGGTCATATGTTTAGCAGCGCTTTTACTAATTATTTTATACAGTTTCCGTGTTTTTTTTTAATTGACTTATAGCAGCGCTTTTGTACAAAAGTGATGTCTAATGTGAGCTGTTAAAAATCACTTTTGGCGTAGTGTATATTCATTTACTATGTATAATGATATTGTGCGAACCGTTGAAACAAACGGGTAGATGACTACTTAATTATTTCATTTATTTTTTCTACTAAGATATGTATTTTCGATAAGCCGAGAGTATTTAATTTATATATCTTTTATATATATTTCTTAATCATCACTATACTATATTTATTTACTATTTATGAAGATATTATGTAACCCGTGCGAACGCACGTGTAGATGATAACTTAATTATGAAAATTTATTTTTTCTATTAAAATATATATTTTTGACGTGCCGAGACTACATAATTTGTATATGTGACAGTTACTTGGTTATAACATGGAATAATCTAACTATTGATGAGCTTCAAATGTGATGAGAATACAGAACATTGATGACTAATCATGATGAGAATAATTTGATACATGTCTAAAATAATAAGTGATTAAAAGTTGAAAAATGTTTTCACAATTCAAACAATAACCAAAATACAAAATAAAAATCAAATTGATGAGCTTCTATATATGACAGTTACTTGGTTATAGCATGAAACAATCCAACTATTGATGAGCTTCAAATATGATGAGAACACAGAACAATGATGACTAGTCATGATAAGAATAATTTGATGTATGTCTAAAATAATAAGTGATGAAAAGTTGAAAAATATTTTCTCTATTCAAACAATAACCAAAATACAAAATAAAAATCAAATTGATTTTATAATTTATAATTAAAAGATATTTTTTATAATAAACTAAAAATAAATAATTAAAAAATAGTAAGTTTAATATTTATCACTAATAGATATTTATTTATAAACAGAATTAAATATGAGACACATATTTATCATTATTGAATAAATAAATTTAAGATGATATGATAAATATTTAGTTTTACAATTATTTTTATAAACGGAAATAAGTTATTTTTATAAATAATAAAAATTAAACTTTTGATACAATTATTTTTAATAGGAATAAGTTAAAAATATTTTTATAAATGATCACACAGGTTCAAAGCACTTATGAACAGGAAAAAGTTTACATGTTGATTTAGTTATTTGTATAAATGGAAATAAGTTACAATAATTTTTATAAACATGAATAAGTTACGAATATTTTTATAAAAGAAAAAAATTCAACTATTAATGCAATTGTTTTTATCAAGAATAAGTTAAAAATAATTTTAAAAATCGTCACACGGGTTCAAACCACTTATAAACGAAAAAAGTCTACATTTTGATATAATTGTTTTTATAAACGGAAATAAGTTACAATAATTTTATAAATGGAAATAAGTTACAAATATTTTTATAAACGGAAAAAATTTAACTATTGATACAAGTATTTTTATAAACAGGAACAAGTTACAAATTTTTTAATAAATAGACACATGGGTTAAAGACACTTATTATGTTTGTAACTATATGAATGTTAACCAACTGAATAAATGAATGCAAATTTGACAATAAAAATAAGAGACGTATAATATGAATCTAGACGAGACTCGTGCGATATCACGGGTTTCTTACTAGTTAGTAGTCAGTAGAATGGAAAACTGTTTTTTGAGTGTCCTTTTTTTAGGTATTTTTTTAATTAAAAATAATTATTGATTATTTATTTATTTAATAATTAATATTAAATCATTTTCGCTGCCGAAAAAGACGGTGCTTCCGCTGCAAACACCTTCATCCAAATCGTCTTCGCTGAGAATATTGGCTCATCTGCTGATCTTCATCAACAGTCATGTGAGGACCAGGAATCAACAGCAGCGCGGCAAGATGCAATTGTCAACTCTCAAGAAACCATTGCCTCGAATGTTGATAGGAAATTATGGGTTGCTGTTTTGAATGAGAATCGGAATCCGGCTAAAGGGAGATCGATGAAGTTTATAGACCCAAAGGTTGTGAATGGAAGCATTGAGGTTGAGATTGAAGCAGAAGATACCATTTCTGATATAAAGTTGTGGGAACCTTCGATTGTCTTGTATGCCCTGGGAGGAGAGCTTAGTATGAACGCGGTTAAAAACTTCATGATCAAGAATTGGAGTTTTGTGCAGCTCCTAGATATGTATTATCACGAGGAATGATTTTTCATTCTCAGATTCAAATTCTTTAGTGATAGAGATGAAGTCCTTATGTGAGGCCCTTACATGATTCGTGGTATGCTGCTTCTGGTTAGAGAATCGAGGCCAGACTTTAACTTGAAAGATGACCTACTCAGAACCTTGCCCATCTGGGTAAAACTTCCACATCTTCCTCTATACTTGTGGGGATAGACTAGTTTGAACAAAATTGGGAGTGTTATTCGTAACCCTATTGTTACAGATGAGTGCACTGCTAATCGTCTTAGAGTGTCTTATGCCAGAATGCTTGTAGAGATGGATATCATCAAAGAGCTTCCAAACACTATCACAATCCGAGACAAGGAAGGGGAAAATTTTCAACAGCTGATTGAGTACAAATGGAGGCCACTTTTCTGTAATAAATGTCAAAAAGTGGGTCATTATTGTGACAAACTGAAACCTCCTATGAAACAATGGATGGCCAAACCTAAACCTCCTGATGAAGCCAAGTTGCCAGTGGAAGCCAAAACAAATGCAGGCAGTAAGAATGCATAATCTCTAAGTTCTAGTATGTAGAGGAATAGCAGCTGGTCCAAGGTTACTAAAAGTAAGAAGGATAATGGTAAGAGAATTTTGATTCCTCCATATGATAGTATTACTGAGAATCGTTTTGATACTCTAGGGATTTTGAACGATCTCCTAGAGCTTCAAAATACTGGCCCATGTTGATTTCTTGGAATGTTAGGGGGCTAAATAAGCCATCTAAACTTAAAGAGATTTTCTCCCATATCCAAAAGTTTATGGCAGACATTGTTATCTTAATTGAAACCATGGTGAAAAGAAACCAAGCTGACTCCATTAGGTCGATTTTACCTTTGAGGGATAAGTATCTTGATAACTATAGCTGGCATGGTAATGGTAGGATATGGCTCAACTGGAATTCTAGTTGTTTTGACATTAAAGTCCTTGAGAGTACTAATCAAATGATCCATCGTGGAGTGTATAATACCTAAGGTGTACTTAAATGTTGGTTAACTGTTGTCTATGCCTTGAACAAGCTGGAACAAAGGAGACTCCTTTAGAAAGATCTGAGAAATTTGAATCTTCAGGGACCCTGGTGCATTGCTGGAGATTTCAACAATGTGATCAAAGCCAAAGACAGGATTGGTGGGAAGACTGTTACTGAATTTGAATATAAAGAATTGCAGGAGCTGATGGACCTTAAAGGCTTATCAGAAGTTGATAGTGCAGGGGATTATTACACTTGGTCGAATAATCACAGTATTGGAACAATTTACTCAAGGATTGACCACATTCTAGGCAACAATGATTGGTTTTAGGATTTTGGGCACTGCAAGTTGAGAAACCTCCCTCCACACGTACCTGACCATTCTTTACTTTTCTTGAGCAATCAGGTCAATAATTTGAAACAGCAGAAGAGATTTAGATTTATTAATTATGTAACTGAGATGGATGCCTATCATGAGACTGTTGCTAAGAGTTGGAATATCCCCTTGGAGGGTAGCCCTAGTTTTATCTTGTGGCACAAGCTGAAAAGGCTAAAGAATGATTTGTATAAACTGAACAAGCCCTTGGTCTCAGCTAAACAAAAGATTGTTAAGATTAGAGATAAGCTAAAGTCATCTCAGGAAAACTTAGCTAATGACGGGATGAATAGCCTGAAAATAAAAGAGATTAAATCTATGACTGATGAGCTCCTGCAGTGGAATGAGATAGAGGAGTCTGTTGAGGCATAGAGCTAATATTCTTTGGTTGAAAGAGGGTGACAGCAACACAGCCTTCTTCCATGCTTCTGTCAAATCCAAGCAAAATAGGAATTATTTATACATGCTCCAAACTGAAGATGGTAGAGTATTAAAGAATCTGTCTGATATTGAATCTAAAATTTTGGCTTTTTATGGTACCTTGGTGGGTAATAGGGATGATGAAATCCAAGGGGTGGATATTAGAGCTATGATAATGGGGCCTCAGCTTTAGAATTGGAAGAGGGATAGTCTGGTGATTCCTGTCACTAAAAAGGAAGTTTTATCCTCCCAGAATAGCATCCATGATATGTCTGCTCCTGGAATTGATGGATACACTGCCAAATTTTTTAAATGCAGCTGGGAGGTTGTGAAGCATGATCTGATATCCACTATCTAGAATTACTTTGAAATAGGTAAACTGTATAAATCATTTAATTGTACAATAGTATCCCTTATTCCTAAATCTCAGTCTGCTGTTAGTTTAAAGGACTATAGACCTATTTCTATTTGTTCCATAGTCTATAAGATTATCTCTAAGATTTTAACCATGAGATTGGGTAAAGTTCTTGGTAGTATTGTCAGTCCAACTCAGGCTGCCTTCATTCTTGGATAGGGTGTTCATAATCACATTCTTTTGACCTATGAATTACTGAAAGGGTATAATAGACAGGGTGGTCCTTCTAAATGTTTAATTCAATTGGACATGAAGAAAGCTTATGACATGGTTCATTGGGTGGCTCTTGAGACGATCATGCAAGAAATTGGAATTCCTCCTAAGTTCATTGGTTGGGTTATGGATAGTGTTACCCGTGTCTCTTATAGGTTCAATATCCAAGGCTATTGGTCTAAGTTGTTACTGGATAAAAGGGGGATTAGGCAAGGGGACCCAATTTCCCCTTACCTTTTTTCTCTAATTATGGAATACATTCATCGTTGCTTGGCGCAAATGCAACTGAACCATAACTTTAACTACCATTTGAAGTGTGAGAAGATGAATCTGACCAATAGGATGTTTGCTGATGATATCCTATTGTTTTCTAGAGGTGATTCGGGTTCTGTCAAGTTAATTTTGGATGCTTTTCTCAATTTTCCCATTCTACTGGCTTGTAGATTAATAGAGGTAAGAGTAATATCTATTTTGGAGTTGTTGATATTGATTTGAAGAGGAATATTCTCCAGCGGACAGGGTTCCAGGAAGGGTGCTTGCCTTTTAAGTATCTTGGCATCCCTATGACCTACAAAAAGCTTAACATTTTCCACTACATGGTTCTGGTTGATAAAATTACTAGCAGAATTAAAAATTGGACTGTGAAAATGCTGAGTTATGCAGGTAGAGTCCAATTGATCAAAAGCGTGGTTTTCTCTATAGCGAATTATTGGCTGATGGTGTTCCCTTTTCCAAAATGTGTGATTAAGAAAATGGAAGAAAGGCTTCGTACCTTTATGTGGACTGGGAAGGGCGCTGCTAGTAGGAAGAGTTTGGTGGCTTGGAACCAAGTCTGCAAACTTGTGAAACAAGGTGGGCTTTGTATCATAAATCTAGCCATTTGGAATCATTGTGCTATGATAAAATTATTATGGAATATTTGTATAAAAGCTGACAATATGTGGGTGAAATGGATCCACACGTATTACATAAAAAACAAAGCCATCTTGATTGCCCCTGTTAAAAATTCTAGCTCATGGATAATGCGGAAAGTCCTGAACTGTCGGAGTTTTATTACTGAGCATGGTTTTGTTTGGACATAGTTAAGTATATATCCTTCTTAATGCAGGTCTGGAGGTTCCTTGGTGCAAGCTGTTTAGCTTTAATGTTGCTAGACCGCGGGCTAAAGTGTTGTTGTGGTTAGATTGTCATAGAAAATTGGCCACTAAAAGTAGGCTGGTCAGATTTGGGTTTATGAGTGACAGTGTGTGCGTTTTCTGCGGTGCAGAGGAAACAATTGATCATATCTTCTTTGATTGCCAGCATCTGCAAAAAAATTGGTCTTCTATCTTGGATTAGCTTCAATTTCAGCACAGTCCTAAAAATTGGAAGGTTGAATTAAGCTGGATTTTACAAAAAAGAGGTGGTAAAGGTTGGAGAGCCTCGCTTTTGAAATTGGCTATTGCTGAAACAATTTACGTCACTTGAAATTATAGGAATGGAGTCTGCTTTGGTCTTAGTAATAATAGAGAACAAATAATTCAGGATATTATCTACAATATCGTATTTAAATGGTGGTTTTGTAAAATGCTGAAAAATAGAATAGTGAGCTTTATGATACCTTAGGTAACTTGTTGTCTTGCTCTAGTTATTTTTGATGGTTGGATCTTTGTGATCGTCTTGTCTTATATTGTTTTTTGATTAATGAAAATTCTTTTCTTCCAAAAAAAAAATATTAAATCATTTAATTTAATAATTAAAATACATAGTGAATGAAATAAATAACATAAAAGAATAAATAAATTATTAAATGACAAAAATAGCCTCCATTTTGACGCCAAAAATTATGAAATGACTTAACTTTTAACATATAAGATTCATTTGTGAGACAAATATTAGTATATCACTAATCAAGTAATTAGATTTAATATATTTTTATATTTTTTTATAATATATTTTTATACTTATTAAATATAAATAATAATTATAATATTTTAATTTGAGTTTAGTATAAAATCAAGCACAAAATAAAACTGTCACTATAGAAATGGTTCAATATTTTCGGAATAAAAATGAAAATTTATAAGCTAACAGTTGTTTTGTATTTCAATTTTATTCAAATCACTTGAGAAGAAGTCACTATTAATATTTTAATTCAAGTCATATATAAACATAATAAAATTAGTTACCATTGAACCACCAATAATCTCTTTTTAAATTTTACAGCTACATCTTTAACTATCAATATTCGTTAAAAAAAATTCACTTTACTTTTTTTTAATTCAACTACTTAACGATTTTGAATATCTTTAATGTCAGTTTACATCAATAAATTTGTTTGGTTGTGTTCGATCCATAAAAAAACACAATAACTATTATTATTAATTACTATCTCCGTTAAGTAATGATTGTCCTATAAAAAAGAGAAATTATAAAAAAATTTATAAATTGTCTTTTATTAATAATATTAAAATAAATAAATTTATATAATTAAAAAAAGAAAGAATAATAAATATTTAAAAATATAATACAAAAATAGTATTAATTATTTATATATATTTTAAAGTGATTTATATTGTGGTCACTTTTTTTTAAAACGACTTATAATAAAAAATAAAGAGAGTGATATATAATAAAACACAAGACAATTATGTTCATTTATAATTAGAGAAGAATGAAACAAATATTTCTCGTTGATAAATTAAAAATCATACAAGACAAAACTTTATTACTTACAAGTAGGGATGGGAATATACAAAAGTCTATGATCAGGTCAGATATATCTAATAAAAAAAGGTTAAGTTTAAGTTTTTTTTAAAATTTATTTAATTAAATAGGTCTGACTTAGGCTATTAAAAAAAATCTATGATACCTTATAAGATCAATTTATATTTTCTTATATATTAAAATATATATATATATATATATATATATATATATATATATATATATATATATATATATATATATATATATATATATATATATATATATATACACCGACATTTAAGGATTCTTAAGTAATATTAATTAATTGAAAATTTTAATGATAAATAGACTTTTAAATAAGTTTTTAAATCAGATCAAATTTTTAAAAATACCATATCAAGCCAAAGAATAGTATATAATAGGTCATAGACCAGACTAATGTCTTTTAAATTTATCATATGTCAGACTTAGGTCTTCTAAAACCTAACTTAACCTAATTTATTTTCACTCTTACTTACAAGTATAAAAAAATACAGAATAAATATCTATCACTTATAAATAAAAAAGTATTGTATAAATATTTATCACAAATACATATAAAATAGACTTAATTGCAATTTTGTTCTCACTATTTAGTTGTTTTCTTAATTTTAATTTTCTATTTTAAAAATCGTCATTTTAGTCTCTTTTTAAATTTACTTTTGAATTTTCGCTCCCTCATTTTATAAACCATGATTTTGATTATTTTTTTAAATTTTTTTTATAATTTTAGTCTCTTTTATAAATTTTATTTTAAATTTTAATCTCTTTTTCATCATTATCAGAGGACTAAAATTTAAAATAAAACTTAAAAGGAGATTAAAATTATAAAACTTAAAAAACAGTTTAAAATTATGATTTTTAAAATGATAGGATGAAAATTAAAAAAAAATAATTTAAAAGGGACTAAAATTATAATTTTAAAAATAAAGAATCAAAATAAAAAAAATAATTAAATAGAAGGGTTAAAGTCGAAATTAAACTTATAAAATACTATGACAAATATTTGTCAATGATAAATATTAGAAAAATACGAGACACGTTATTTAATTAATACATACAAAAAATAATAAATATTTATTATTGATTAGCATAAAAAAATTGATAAAATTATCATCCATAATTATTAAAAAAAGAAAGAGACAAATATTTTTATTTGATAAATATATTAAAAAACACATGTCATATTTATCTTTAACATATAAATAAATACGAGAATAAAATTCAAATTCATTTTAAATTTATTAAAAAGTAATTTTAATAATTTAGTGCAAGCGTATTAAAACCAAATTATGATACTTATAATTATTAAATTCAATTGCATCGAAATGTGTATTTGTTGGATATAAAGCATATTCTCTACCATTTTCATTGTTCGATTTTAATTATATAATTCAAAAAATTTATTATAACTTTTAATTACTTAATATATTATTTATTATATATTTCATTAACATTAGGCAACACACTCGTCGAATTGAAGTTATAGTAAAATTTTATATGAGTTGGCTCATTAAGATTAAATCAGTTTAGTTAGAAGTTGAATAAAAATATTAAATATAATAATGTGATTCTGAATATATAATAATTTGATATTAGATATATGGGTGTAGATTCAAATCCGTGATATTTTATTTATTTTATTTAGATGTTAAATTTTAGTCATTAAACTATTTGATAAAAATTAAAAATAAAGTTTTTTAAATTTATTAATTAAATTTAATAGATACATTATTAATTATTAATTTTGTAAAGAAATCTGTTATTAATTGTAAAAAAATCTGCAGCCACAACAGATGTTTTATAAAATTAACTTTTTTTAATTATTTTTAAAATGATTTAAAAAAATAAAAAATAAAATTGACATTTGTGAGTGTGCTTAAGAATGTTTCATTTGGTCTTGTGACTATAGAAGAATAAGTCAACATAGTGAGCAAGTCTTACATAACTCATAGTAGAAGAATAACTCTAAACATAGTACTCTTTAAGTTTGTACTGAAGCATACTCTTAATTTTCCATCAAATCAACTCCTTCATGGTGGGGTTATTATTTCATTACGTCAACTCCTTCAATGTCGTTTATTATTTGAAGTTGTTGATTGTTTTTTCTCATTTACGTCAACCAGTCACAGTTTAATCACCTAGTACAAGATGATCTTTTTAGTTTTTGTTTTTATGAATACTATGAATACTTACCATTAATGCTAACCAATGGATAATTCAAAGGGCAATACTTGCCCATTTAGAAATGAACACGTAATCTAGTGAAAAGTTAATAATATTTTTAAAATTTGGAACTTATATTCGACACAAAATTAACTAAAGTCGACATTTAGACTTAGGCCCAAACATATATTAACATATCTAAACGTTAAAACTTTGTATTTTTTTTTTTACGGAAGTTAAGTTTCTTACTGATTTGATTTATATAAACTATCAAACTTTCACCACTCATTTTTCTTCATTCAGAAAGTCATACTTAAAAACCAAAATAGAATTCTTGAGCAAACTTCATTTCATCATTTTTTTTTAAGGTTTATTGTTATTTCTATTGCATTGTATTCAAGAATAGGATATCAATCAACCTATGTTCTATTTCATTCAATCGAAAATCGTCGACTTCTCACACTCGATAAGTTTTTCACTTTCTTTTGTTTTTTGTGATGCATTAGTTTGAAGTTAAATAGTAACACATAATAGGTTCAGAGGAAAAAAGTTAGACGCTCTCATGCAAACATGAGTGTTACTTCTTTTGATACAGAAGCATCATCTTCTAGAATTCATGTGTCTCAGGAATCGTCCTCTAGAGATATGAGTCTCCTGTTGTTGCCCCATAGTTGAACTTGTTGTTCCTGATGTTTTGCCAGGAGATCCCTTAGACACCTTATTAATGCAGATTAGGGGTGTTCAAAACCAAATCGGCCCAATAGAAAATCGCAAAATTGAACCGAACCAAACCGAAACCGCATTTTGTTCGGATGTGTTTGAGTCATTTTTTAACGGAACCGCGCGGTTTGGTTTGGTTTGCGGTTTGTATTTTGCAAACCGAACCAAATCAAACAAAACCGCATTATGTTATAAAATCTTACTAACCAATATATATTTCTTTAATTACTTAGAGAAATCAACATGTATTATGTATATATTTTATCATATTTTGTATGATATTTATTTTAATTTACAAATCATAAAAAATAAAATATTATTCATTTATAAATACTATTTTCACAAAATATATTTTATCGTATTTTTTGTATAATATTTATTTAAGAATGCAATCTTGTATATATCATTCTTTATATTTAGATAAAATTATAATACGCAATTTTATGTATTAAATTATAAGTATGAATCCTTTCTTGGAATCATGCATATTAAAGCGTCTTGGAATCATGCATATATAAGAGTGAATATTTTTTTATGGTAATGTATGAACAATTAAACACAATTATATTTTCCTCGATATGTGCATCTATGGCTTAATAATTTTTTTATAAAAAACCGAACCAACTGAACCGATCCAAACTGCATTAGTTTGGTTTGGTTTGGTTTGAATTTATTTTTAAAATCCAACCTAACCAAATTGAACCGCATGTTTTTTTCTCTTGTGG